CGTTGAGTGCCGATTTTACTTTATACTGCTACATCTTGAAATACCTTTGCGAGTTAAAATGACGTTATTTATAAACATTGTTTTTGCCATGTGAAGATTTTTGCGAATGGCAACCCTTAATTTTCTTTTTCTTTTTCTTTTTTTAAAAACATTGCCCTTACTATAGGATAAATTTGTCCTGTGTTGCAAGGACGTTTTACAAACATAAATTTCACGCGGACAAACACCCAGATGCGAAACAACTATCTGTGGGTCACACAAATAGTTGTCCCGTGTGGGGATCGAACCCACGACCCCCGACGCTGAAGCCAATACCTTGGCAACTGCGCCACGGAGTCATCAAAAATTGATTCACAATGGCTCTAGAGTTGGATCGTGTATTCAGGAAAGAACTTTTAAATATTGAATTCAATATCAATCAATTGATTTCGTTTTGTTGATGAACCTACCGCTCAGTTTTAACTATAAAATCCAATCCTAGATGTCAGCGAATTGAGATGTTTATGATTTTATTAGACTCGATTACGAACCGAACGTAGTCACGTTTATAAAAAGGGAAGGCGCGGCATTCAGCGCCCGTGGCGGTCAAGGTTCATAAGGCGGACGTGTGTCTATTGAGAGTTGAGGCTACGTAGTAATAGTAGTACACGTCGCCGTTTCATTCTAATGTGAACCGGCTTCCTTATCGCGGGGGAAGAAGGTCGAAAATTGCCTGCATTACTTAATTACGTGCTCTTAGATGGAAGCACGTACAACATAGAAACACACTTATTCAAATCGGATAAGAAAGAAAATGTTTCGCTCATTATGAAATTGAACGCGATTCTTCGATTTTCTTACGACTCTGATTTTTAAAATAGCTTCTTAATTGTGCTTTTTATTAATAAATTATTTTAAGTTGTTATACTATTTGGTCTTTTTCCCGTTAAAAAGTTGAAAATATTTTTTTTAAATGACTTATTGACGGATATAAATTAAACACTGTACAGAAATATTAAACCTAGATATGTGTTTTAAATCACTATACATTACCTCTGTTATTACGCGGCTATACGACGTTAATGAGTCGTGAAGCCATCGTTTAATACACGATAGTATAATTGTTAGCATTGAATAATGATACATCGATGTTCGTCCCCTCGTTCTACTGATGCACTTGAACAAATATGGTACATTAGCATTAATGAAACGGCAGCTGCTGATTCTCAATAAGTCGCTGTATTATTAGTAAAAGAGGTCTTCACACTGTGGCAGGGCCACGCGAGTGTTATACTTCTGCGTTTCGTCTGGTGAGAGAGACGCATTTGAGACCCTACGGGTGTTGAAAATGTCCACGGGCGGCAGTTATCACTTAACATCAGGTGAACAGTCAACTCGCTTGCCACCTCATATAAAAAAAACAACTCATAGACGGATAAATATGACCTAGGGACCGTGGGAGGAAATATGGAGAAATATGGAATTAAGATTTGTTCCCAATTCATTTGGAACGTAAAACATAACGTCCTTCGTGCGTTTGGTGGGAATCCGGGTTAGCTTCGGGACCATCCCAAGATCGACTGAGAGATAATGCTGATGGCACTAAGTCCGCATTTGTAAGAAAAAATAAATAAAATAAAGAATAAATAAATAAAATCTTCGGTGAACATGCTACTGCAGTAGAATTGAGTCCAACCCAGTGGACAATTAGGGCCACAAACTTGATCGCCCGGGTAACCGATGTTTCCTTTTAGTCCCTTTGTACGACAGATGATATCTTAGCGCTATTCTATATAACTCGGCAGCTGTGTCAACAGCAAGGCTGTTGTATAAAAACAAACGTAGGAGCGAATCGAGTGTGCTACACGTTCCGGACGTTTACAGGTGGCCAATTCGACTATTTGCGTTGATAAACTAGTTTCGTTGAGGAGCTAAACTTTACTGGCTGCCAAGTGTCCTATTTTTAAAGGGTCACGTTAATTTTAACGGGTTGGAAAATATAACCAACAATGCAGCCCTTGTTGGTTATATTTTCGGACACATTAGCATAGAATACAATATAAGCGTATCATTTTGCATATTTCTTTACTCATGCCGAATGCACTTAATTTTCTATGTTACTTTCTTTATATTGATTCTTGTGTGCCTATTGGTCAAGATCCTTTATGTTTTACCAAACACCGGCTTCGCACGGGTGCTAATTGTCATTTTTAATATATTTTTTTACCACGGTGTGTATTGCACTAAGATTATTTATTCATTTATTCATTGGATCTGTCTTGTTTAGCCGGCGTTTGCAATGTAAGCGCATTAATGATTAGGCTTGGTCTTGACGAGAATTCCTAAAATACATTATTCATATTGATTTCAGGCAAGTTTCCCTTTATTTTTGTAATGAACCGCACTAATATTCTAACTTCGAAAGTTTCTGTGTCAGTGTCTTGTTCTGTCGTCGCGCCGCGATGGCTCAATGGATTTGAATGTTGGGCCATTAATAACCACCATAAACATAAAAAAATAATTAAATACACTAAATACTTTCGTCCCATGAAAATAACTACTGTATTTTACTTTGTCATTTCTATTGTAAACAATTAGGTATATTATATTATTGTATTTACTTAATAAATGTTTCTTTCTTCATTAATCCATATTTACATCACGTGCACCGTGTCTGAAATGATACTAAATCAGTTTCTCTCATCAATTTTCAACATGCTAACTTTAAAAAGCCAAAGGTTTTGCTTATTTTTAACCGACTTCAAAAGGAGGAGGTTTTCAATTCGACTGTATTTTTTATTTATTTTTATGTTTGTTACCTCATAACTTTTGACTGAGTGAACGGATTTTGATGATTCTTTTTTATTTGAAAGCTGGTGCTTCCCATGTGGTCCCATATTAAAGAACTCCGGAAATACTTAAATTAATCCTGAAAAGTCAATTGTAAAATGAAAACACCGAGATATTTAACACCGGTTTTGTTTTTCGTTAGTAAAAAAATGGTTATTTATCCTTCGTTGCTCTGCTAACTGTAGCCAAGTGTTTCTTCACTATCAGCAAGCGTGGATGCATTCTACCATTAACCGGAGTAGCCCAATCAGCGGTTCGCACCCACGCACCGCGCGACGTTCAGCATACGAAACTAGTTTCGTTCATATTTGCTTTCACTTTTACATCGTCGTCGTGGCCCATTGATGGCTGCCTTATTGCTCGCTTCTACTGGTCTGTACAAGGAGTTCCGTCCGGCATCGAATTAGATAAACAGGTCTCTATTTGGTATCCTTTGACAAGTGTGCAGCAAGGTGTGCGAGTGCCATAATCGAGTTATCGACAATAGTATTGTCGACAACTCCATTATGGCACTCCCATGAGTTATATTAGAGATTTTGGGAATCATAATTTATTAATTTGAGACAGTTTTTATAGTATTGCTGTCCAAGTCTCGGAGTGATACTTCCTAAACTGCCATCGACGTTCCTTTTAATTATTTAAACTTATAGGCGATTTAGATTTTTTTCCTCTTTGAAAAAGAATACAATACGAAATAGGTTTTAATCATTTGAACAAGTTACCGACCGATTATCAAATTGCCACGGTGTTTAAAAAATTTATGTCTTTCACTTAGTCTTAGGTTTTTAAGAAAACTTTTTAATTCTAAATAACTTATAGACAATTTTTATGTATTGTTTTATTTCCTTAACATTTTAAATATTACGATCACCGTTTCGACAATTGTCAATAAAAAAGTGACAAAAGCAAGCCAAAAAGGTTGCAACTCATCTGCATCCCTACGGGTGTTGCCAATGTCCACGGGCGGCGGTTATCACTTAACATCAGGCGAACCGCCAGCTTCTCATAAAAAAAATTATCTTCTTGGTACGTAGTAAAAATATTGTAACACATGTGAAGTCTTTATATTAGATAGCCTGAACTAGTCCATACGTTGCCTCATATTTTACTTGACTTTGAGTGGCTCTTGAGATTCTTAATGAGTTTATTCGACCAACGTTATCTTTGCTTCGTGTAAGTTACTGTTATTACAATTTAATTCGATGTTATGTGTGAACATTTTTGTGTCAAACGTTATTATGAAAATCGTTTGTTTGTTCGCGAGTACGAGCAGATGTTATTATCATTTGGTCTTGTCGACTGATACAGTCATTGTTAACATAAAGGCCCATTTACATGGTGCCAGTTTCTTGCCTATTGTATACAATTAAATTGAAGCAATAAATGAGTTGCATGGTCTAAACAATTATTGGGCGCAATTTATTGCATTCAATTATTGCTCTTGTATGTTCAAGAAAATGGCATCGTGTAAATGGGCCTTAAATCTTTAACAGTATATAACCAGTAAAATGATGCTTAAGAGATCTAGTAACTTGAAAATGTATGAAGTTTGGCATTTTGATGCAGCAGAAATGATTTTTCTTTTTTAATTTTTTTGTATTACGTTCCTACTATCGTACTTTGTTATAAGCGGTGATCGCTAGTACATCAAATTACTAATATTCAAGAACGTCTTTGGATATTGAGAGACATAATTATGCAGTCAACTGGTACATATATTTGCTTAATTAAGAGCTCTAGGACGTGCTTGACCGAATACCAGATTTTACTGTATCAAAAAACATTCAAAACGACTACGATGACAGTCAGATTTCCAAACGACGGTCGTAGTTTGTTTTTAATTAAATTAACTTTTTAAAACATTTTTTTTTAATATTATAGGATATCTTCTCTTTATACAAAGCAAAGCTTGTGTTATGTAACTGACAAACATACTTAAACATAAATTTAATTTGTAAATAAATACATATTATAGAGATATAAACACCTAGACATTAGAAAAACATGTTCTACAACTATGTTCATCACACAATATCTTTCTACTGGTGCGATCAAATCAAACAGCCTCTGGCGCTAGAGACAAGTTCACTATCCCATACGCCAATCAGGTTGCATACAGTTAAAATTAAAAATATTAAATTGAAACGTCTGACGGAATACATTTGTTTCAGATGACGAAATCGCGTTGCCCGACAAACATAAATTCGACTCGAGGACCTACGTCAAGCCAAAGAAACGATCTCAGAGGCCGAGCATCCAGAGCATCGTGGAGGTCGCGTCCAACCCGCCCTCCATCACGTCCCACCCATCGCTCAACCAGTCTGCCAACAAATACCTGACGTACAACAAGTACAATAACCCGCTGGGACCAATCAGCCCCATGATTAGACTGAAGACCTTCAATGTAGACACGAATACCGATAATAGTGTCGCCGTCAAGGAATACGCGATGAAGAGGAAAAGCCTGGTGCAGGATGATGACCCACAGGTGAGCGACTTGGACATTACATGAGTTTATTTATTATGAAATCAGAAAACCAATTAATGGTAAAGGTAGTAGGGCAACACAACAGCTTCGACTGTTGCAAGAATGGGCAGGTCCGTTCGGATAAGTACTGACAATCATAAGACAAGACATAAAACACAAAAGACTGGCGTGAAGTAGAAGTGTCAAACTTCTGCGTTTCGTCCGGCGAGCGAGATAGTCGGGGTCCATTTTATGAAAAAGGTGGCAACATGCCACCTTCTCACATAAAAAATATAAATAAAATAAAGTTGTGTGGTGGGGCGTGTTTTGTAAAATTTTGATTTGAATTGATTTGGCTCACTGTGAATAAATTTCAGAGAACATTTACTTACGTTAATGAAAATTATAAATAAATAACATACAGACGTTTGTCGTCTAATCAATTCGGAATTCATCTGCAGACCTTTTAAGATTAGCTTTCTCCCTGACAGCCTCGAAGCTTGCATATGGCTTTGCAAATTTAATTTAGAAGACTTAGAGACAGAGCCAGATCTATCCAAAATCAATTAACCAATATTAAAATTATGGTATAAATAAAAAAGTGAGATGCTCAATATTAATAGACTTGTCAGTCGATGAATATTATAGTCGATGACGTTATTGACCTTTCAATCTTAATAGTTGCCTCCAATTTAAAAATCCACCAAATCGGTCGATAATTGATTGAGATAACTTTTAGCAAATACACGGGCGTTATCAAATACGGTTTAATTCAAGCTGTTAATGGCGCTAAGTTATTAGCGGCTAAGAAATTAACCTAACCGAACGCGGCGTGCGAAAGTCGAGCGCGGTGCATTGTATCCGCGGATAATGGTAGCAAAATGGTCTTTGACCTCAACGGTCGGTAATTGAAAACGTTTTGAGGAGAACCGTTTATGGTGCGCGATTTAATCCGGGTGATAAGTTTTCGCACGATGACTATTCCATTCTACAGTAGACTTAATTTTCAGGATAGTCTGAATAGAATTCAAATGTTTCTATTTGTCTTTGTGGGGGTACATTCAGATTTCGTTTAGTGGTATTAGGGTTAGATTTGTTTAAAGCGAATTTAACTCTCCTTTTCACGCTTCATTACTGTCTTTGTTATCTTTCAACGGACCTCAAAAAAGGGGGTTCTTAATTCGACTGTATTTTTTTTTATGTTTGTTACCCCAGAACTTTCGACTGAGTAAACCGATTTTGATGAATACTTTTTTTTATTTGAAAGCTGGTACTTCTCATGTGCGCCCGGGAGATACTAAGGGAATTCCTGAAAAAAAAAGTAAAGTAAAAGCCTATACATGTCCCACTGCTGGGCAAAGGCCTCCTCTATACAGAGGGTATCAGGGCTTAGTCCACCACGCGGTCCCACTGCGGATTGGCGGACTTCACATATTTTCGAAATATATATTTTTTTGTTATTATTTCGAAAATATGCAGGTTTCCTCACGATGTTTTCCTTCACCGCGGAGCACGTGATAATTCAGCACTTAAAGTTAAAAACTTCATTGGTGCCGGCACCGGGGATCGAACTCAGGTTGCTCGAGTATATTGAACTAAAGGCGAGCGCCCGGACACTGAGCTATCAATCCGACTCCTGAAAATCAGTTATAAAATCTATGATAACGAGAGCGAGATATTTGAAGTCGGTTTTGTTTTTCGTTAATTCAAATATCGACCTGTCCTTAACAGTTAAATTTTAGGAAATAAGTGTGTTAAGTAAAATGTGATCCTGTAATTATAATATTAATATAATTTATAAGCTATAGATATTGCAACGGTTAGCGGAATCCGTTAATTTTGCGGAATGAGCAGTAATAATAGACTGAACGGCATTTTTAATTGCTAAATTTCCAACGTCACCATTAGATTTTCTGCTGCAACGCAACGAAAATTGTTATATCGTCGATCTTTCTAAAAATTAAGACCGCATATTTCTTAACAATGTGTTTAACTTTAATATACTTTAAATTATAAAACTTTAAATTATTTAATTATTTAATTACTTTAAATTATAAAACAATACAGCATTTAGAAATGGCGATATCTGTCAACAGTCAATGCTACGGAGTTTCGTAAATAATGCAAAAACAAGTTAGCTCACGCTTGTCGCCAAAATTTGTGCACTTCATTATTTCGCCTGTATGGAAACGCGTAAGTATTACTTATTCAAGTTAGGTGAATCATATGAACACTACCTTTCAGGTCTTTAACCCTAATGGTACCGGAGCCCCCAGCCAAAACCATAGCTCATCGTTTTACGGCCAAAATCATGTCTCATCATTTTACGGACAAAACCGCATAAAATCGTTTGATTAGATGATTCTGTTACCGACTACGTGTACAGTGCCGGTCGGAAACGTAGCAGTTTTTCGAAGGTCCATTTCTGCTGTGTCACAAGAAACAGGCAGACGACTTTATCACATTACTTTTTTAACATAGATTTTGAAAATTTTTTTTAGAAAATTTTGTTTTCCGACATATTGATCGTAGTATGACTCCATATGGCAAATTAATATTTCACTAGCAATTACCCAAACTGCGTATATTTTTATAACGAACAGGTTAATCTTACTAGATGTGGGTGCAGTTCCTCACGGAATCGGATGAGCGTAAATTTAATTGACGTATGGTTCACAAAATCATAAATCAAAGTTCGTATTCTATAAGGCTTTTTAATCTTCTAAACTTCTTTCGAGTCAATTGGAGTACAATCTTTGTACAAGAAGTGTTTAAGCCAATGCCGTGTGGTCTTGAGTCGCATGATTCGACTCTCAGCGCATTAAGTGTTTGTAGGACTTAATGACAATATTTTTACACCCGCAGGCGGATTAATGCCTTATGACTTCCTCAGCCCTAACGTACAAAACATTAGGGCTGATGAAGGAAGAATTTAGATAAGTGACAATAGTGCACAAACGCGGGGTTTGCCGCGTTCGTCATGCGAAATCTTTCGTGCGTACTTCACCAATGCGAATGCGCTATCACGCATAACGGGGTGACTCCTGATCAGAAAAAAAAAATCACTGCACCGTCTCCACCCAGCTGTCGTGTCTCCAGCAGACGGATATAATAAGCACTGCGGGTTTCGGATTGTGGTAACGAAAGCAAACCTTGCAATTGGATCGGTGCGGCGACATTCTATACCGCCGCGTTGTGCAATGTTTCTCAAAGCTCTCGAATTTATAGTATTGTTATATTTATTCAGTTACGTCTTGAACACTTACGACCGGTTTCTGAAACGGTGATCATCGTAGAAGTTAGCTAATCAGCTGTCTAATAGCTTTTCAAATGTTATTAAAGTTGCCAAAAGGATGGTTAAACTCTTTGAATTGATCATTATATTCATTAAGAAGATCAATCTGATCAATTCAGAGAAGCTATTTGACAGTTGATTAGTTAACTTCTACTATGATCAGTGTTTCAGAAACCGGGCGTTAGTAACGGAAATATGTCATACTCGTATTAAAAAACGCTTTACTTCGACTTTCGGCACTCTGAAATCCCAATAAGTAACTAACAACATTGATTAGTATCATTTTTGTAGATCGTATAAATTACTTGTCGAAGTCTACAATTTAGCAACACTGCCTAGCTTTTCCTTAATTAGCGCATACTTAATGAAATCCACTTGGGGGAAGATGTTAATTAATGTGTCCTCATGTCAAGATGTTACTGTTTCCAAAAGACATCTACAACCCCTCTGGAGTTGCAGATGCGTTGCGAACATTAAAAACTTCGTCATCGGTGAACTCACTCACCAAATGGAACGCAAAGGAACACATGAATACACTTGAAGCTGTCTTCTGTGACGCAGTGGCGCTTCTCGCCTATTTGTCAAATCGGCCCGTTATATTTATGTGAAGCAGTGCAGTGTGACTATTTGGGCTTGTATACAGACAGTAATTACAGCTGGTGTTATTGCTTCATTACATCGAACTCGTAAAGCATATCTTAGTAACTTGCAACGTATTCAGTTAACATTAAAACTTTGTAAATGTGCAATGTTAACACTATTTCAACGATGTTTGTAACATCGTTTTTGTTAAGGTTTTAAACATGTCAATTCTTTGCTTCAATTTATTAAAAACGGGGTGTATCGTTTTTTTTAAAAGGATACAAAATAGCCAGAGCGCAGACTTGTATTTCTTTCAATTGCATAGTTATTTTTCGTCTCATCTCTCCCTATCTCTCTTCACGCCCGAGAGCACAATAAATCTAAGTGCTCATATTGCTGTTACAATTTCATTAACTAGAAGAGCGTTAGGCCGTTAAATATGTTAGTTTTAAAAAAATTATCGTTTTAAAACATCTCACCAATCGGAATAAAAATCGGGCGGGACTAAAGAATGTTTAACGTCCATTTCGTAGATTATCTTTTCGGCAAATTCAATATTATTTTTTTAATTAACCTTGTACTTAATATAATGTCCGTGCCTGAATGTCGTGAATTTTTGTACGCACGTTACTTAAAAAAATATTTTACGGTACAACAGCTATTATTACAACAGTTATTTCTTAAGCTATAATTACACAGCTCTACTAACAGAAGTGCTTCATTTATTAGCGAGTTCTAAATATGTTGGAAAACGGAACTATGAATAAGGAACGCGACAAAATAGCTTCGAGCGCGTTGATGATGCAAATGTGTCACGGTTAGGGTTGCCAATCGCTTATTTATAAACACACATATCCGTCGAAATAATGATTCAAATTTTCAACGACCAAGTACTATCATTATTTTTTGAAATACTGGCAATGTATAAGATTTTTTTAATTTTTTGTCTAGTTTGGGTAACTTTTTCTCGTAACTTAATAAACAAGTACTCAAGCAACCCGACTTCAGCCCTGCTTTAAGAAACATAAGAATCGAATAGCAAAAAAACACTAGCATTAGAGATTGGCACTTAATTCCTCGGGTGTTGGTTCATATAAAACGCCTGCCTATTAGCGTCTTAGAAAACAATACACAATACATGTAACAGACTTTTCTTTAAAACTTCTTTCGTGCACTGAACTTTCTCCAGTAAGGTCCCATTCCCTTAAATCCGTTCCCACTTAAACTGAATGTCTTAGTCAGCCTTAAGTATAAAGTTGGATGATCGACGTCTGCGATTTTAGTCCGTAGACTATACACAGCTTCATCCGTCACGGAGCTCGTGGAAAGGTTAAGTTTCATCAGCTTGTTTGTGTCTACGTAAGCAGACGCATGAAGATGGCGTACAGTACCTACCGTGCAGTACCTATATTGAAAACGTGTTGATAGTCGGATACACATCGATTACACAGTCGACAGCCGTGACATCGGCGTACGTATACTGTGCTATTCGTTAGCTGGGACATGTAAGAACCTTATCGGAACGCGGATGAATGAATGAAGATTCTTTATTGTGCACACAACATGGCAAAAAATACTTTAAAAATAACAATTACATATGGATTGTACCATGGGCGGCCTTATTACTAAAAGAATTGTTAAAATCGGATGTACTTGTGTTCGCGATATGTTTGTTTCTCCATGCTAGGGCGAACTGTAGTTTCTTGTAACCCCTGTGGTTCCGGAATACTATCCCGTTCGTTGTCTTTTCTTCATTCAGTTGTTCTAAATGTCCATGCTCGCTCAACAAACCTTTTTCTATCTGTATCACGAAATTTGTATTGATTCACTTCATTCCTACATTTGCCGCACAATTTCGTATCGCATGCTTTTCGCAGTGACAGCGTTTCTATCTCCTTTATTCTAGGTACGTGCTTATTATATATAATTTTTTTCCTTCGGTTTTATCAAAACGACCGAATCCATTTAAGGTTTTTTTAAAGTCTTGAAAAGATAATTATTGCAATTATTGCTTATTTAAAGAAAAAAGTATAATTAGACATCACATTGGTCGCAAATTTACCGATTCTTATTTTGAGCTGAAGTTCCGATACATACACAATAATCATCTACACGATAATACCCAAGGTGTTGATGTAATGTTAGTAAATAAATTGTCACTACATAGACACGAATACTGTCACCCACACAGAAACAGTTCACACCGGCATAAGCTTCCCTATTCGTATTGCGTCACGAGACATAAATAGAATGCATATGTGAGTCGAGAATGGAAATAGATTCTACAGGAAAATCAAACATAGTCTAATATGTTGATAAGTGTGGCCGTCAACGTCGATACTACAATTGGAATGAGAGATGTCTCATTATAATAAAAACGATGAGTAGAGTTTCTATGTGGAAGCTCCGCATGTTTTACTGAATGTAGATATTTTTGTCCTAAAAGCTTCATAGGAAAATTCCTTATAGTCCAAATTTTTACATTTTAATCATCTCTACTTTAGATACTGATTTTTTTATATATTATAAAATTGAAGTAGAGATCTGAGGCAAATATCAATTTGGGATTTTAGTTAAAAAGTCCTAAAACGTGTCTTAAGAACGCTCTGTATTAAAAAAACCACTTTGAGAGAAACTCCGCAAAAAGCGATAGACATTGTTCTAAAAGTGACAGTTGCATTTAACACTAAAGGGATGTCGTTTGGAAAGGCATTTAGTAATTACGTCCCAATTTTATTTAAATCTCAGTGGCGAGTGTTAAACAGTATTTGATTTGTATTCATTGTAATATCAAACGTCACCTACACCACTAATGATACCGACAAATAAATAAAAATAGCAGTTGATAAGTTGGTTAGTGTTTGAGTGCCACTTACCTCTTATGTATCGTCGTCTGATTACTGTAACAATAATATTCAATATTTTTTACTTACAAACATCACTGTCTATCTATTGTTACAATAATATATAATATAACGTCGCTTTTATTATCAGACAGGCTTAGACAGCGCTTCATCATAAGAAATGAATTAGAATGTAATCCATTATATAAAATCAAATTTTATTTCAATTAGTTTAGCCATTGCGGTGTGAAGAGGCAACATACGCAAAATACTTTCGCATTCATAATATAAGGGCCACATACGATACCTTTACAAATTTAGCAATTAATGATTTCATTGAAATATGTAGTGACGCCTGTCTCCATTTATAAATTGCATAGATGCCTGTATAGCTGTCTCCATATATATGTTACATAGGTGTCTGTATAATATATACACACGTTTATAGTTAAGCCATTGCGGAACATACGCAAAATAATTTCGCATTCATAATATAAGTGCAACAAACGATACCTTTACACATTTAGCAATTAATGATTTCCTTCAAATATGTAGTGACGGCTGTCTCCATATATGTATGGGTGCCTGTATAATAAACACACGTTTATATATAATTATGTCTTTATCAGTCAAGTATATGTTGTTTGACGCTTTCAGCTGGAGGATCTGGATGTGACACAGTCGTCTGGCGTGTCAGACCGGCTGTTTGGTCCCGTTGGCTCCAAACCAATCAACATAGACCTATCGCAACCGGCCCACAACCTGCACAACACGTTCAACAAGTACGTATATAGACGGGCGCGAACAGCTGTCTCGCTATTCATGAGCTCTACTGGCTTAGTTGTTTTATTTTATCTAGCACTAGCGACCCGCCCCGGCTTCGCACCGGTGCAATGTATTATACCTTTAGGTAAAATTTCCTCTTTAATCACTCTATCTAGTAAAAAAATCCGCATCAAGATCCGTTGCGTAGTTTTAAACATCTAAGCATACATAGGGACAGACAGACAGCAGGATGACTTTGTTTTATACTATGTGCTGATACATTTAAGGATGCACCAGTGGAATATGTAATGAATGATGACTTTTGTACGAAACGTAAATCGTCAGATTTAAAAATTAACCGGCCTTTTATAGTAAATAAAAAAAATTTCAAATCGACCTGAAGACACAGAAAGAATTTCATTAAAATCGGTCCAGCCGTTTAGGAGGAGTTCAGTGACAAACCTGAAAAGAAGAGAAGAGACATACATACCGAAGAATTCTATAATATTATACATTAATAAGACCATTCTTTTCTTCTTAAGTTTTGTGCCAAACTGGTTAAGTTGTAGGATAGACAAAAGCTTCGAACGGAATGTAGATTTGTCATATTGATATTTATCAATCGCAAAAAGAGCAGAAGTTTAATTGAAAGTCCCAACTCCGCAATTTGCAAATATATATGCATTAATGAACCATAGCTAGCGACATACATTCAGTGTTCATTTCCGCGTTATACATCTTTATAACACGTGCAAAGTAATAGAAAAACTGTCCTCTTTTTACTGTGCCAGGCAAGCTTGAAATTGCAAAAAAAAAATGGCTTTAAACTATGACCTATTTTATATCGTTCGTGATTGTCGTGTTTTAATACCACGGACATTGGATGAAGTAATCTTCGCTTTTTGTTTTGTTCTTTTTGTATTCAATGCATTGAACGTTGCATTGAACGTTGCTGGCTTTTTTAATGGTCATGGCTAAATCTGTATCACTTTAATGAAACATCGGTAAACGTAACATAACAATGTAGACATAGACTTTATTTTGACAAGCAACACACAGCAAGAACATTCAAAATAAATGACATGACAATAACTTAATTAAAAAATAAAAACAAACATCGTTTCGAAAAAATACAAATTAAAAAGAAAAATAAGTTTAAGTGCACAAAGTTAAAAATATAAAGAAACAAAAAAAGACAGGAAACCTTTGAGGAAAAAAAATGTAAAGCTTATAATATGTAATAATGAATGTATTGTACTCTGTTTTTATGTCAAAAATGGTCTCCACTCAGCAAAAGAAATGGGGATGCAATGTCAAATAATGTTAAGTATTGACAGAAGTTTCTTACACTTTAGCCAGGTTATCGTTTCTTATGTATGTCAGAATTAACCGCTTCATAGTAAAATGGTCCTTGTAATGTATTAAGTAATATGTTATTGATAGTTTCAATTCGAATAAGCTATACACAAAAATTCTAAAGCCGCCGATATGAGCGCCCGAGAATCTATTGTCCCCTTTAATCCCTATGTACGACAGGCAAGATACTACCCACAGTATAAAATACTACTCACAGAGCCCTATTTAACCCTATTCTATGAGCCAGTGTCAGTTGAAGTTATTACCTAACAATATAAGAAAATATCTAATCGAGGGTGATATAAGCGTAATAATTATTGATAACATTCATTCGATTTTAAAACATAACGATAGCGCTTATTCTATTCAAGGGAGTAGAAATAAAGCGTCTGGAGAAAGTTATAATTCGCTTCAGTCGGGGGGGACTGCGCGATATCCGTAATAGGCGACGTAATCGACGCCGGTTTTCGTGACAATTAGTCAAGATGACTGCGCGGCACGGAACCGAAGTGGAGACACGCCGATGGAGTGTTGTTTTTTTTAGAGAAACGTTCGGCCCACTAGGCATCCGTCGCTTTAGGCGTCTTTTTTGATTTATCGCTCTCCTGCAATTTCTTTGGACACAATCTTCCGTTTCCGTTTCGGATTACTTGATCGACGCGATCGTTTGACCCAAGAATGACTTGAATGGGAATAAGTTATTTTGAAATTTCCCCATTACACATTTTGCCTTTTGTAGGATGAGTAATAAATGTGCTTTTGTTCGTGTATTTTTTTAATACCACGGTATCTGGTCCTTTAGTCTTTAATTGTGGTAAATAAAGATTATTTCAAAATGACGGCAATGCTTTTAAGAGTAGCCGTGTCTTTACTTCGATCCTTTTTTGCTCGTACGTACATGTAGAATATATCTTAACAATAAAGTAAAAAAGGACACGTAGTTATATAACACAGATCAAGTTCCAGTCTAATGTAGATATTTCAGCCGGGCACATTGCGTTTTCACCAAAAAATATAAGACACCTCTAAATATTATTATTCTAGCAAGAGAAGCATTATAAAAATTAGTCTGTATTGTCCTCAATATATCAATTCGAAAACGATATTATTAATTATAGTAATTAATACCATATTATATTGATATGTTAATATTATTATGCTTCTTGAATTTTAAAAATTCTTTAGACGGTCTATTCAATAACACCTTGTCTTGATTCTCTTCGCATTTTGACAGCGTGATTGGTCATTTTTTCACCCATGGCACCTTTCTAATTTCTGTTTTTGTGATTACTGTCACTGTTGCTTCAGGGGCTTAACAAATATATTGAATGAACGCGGAAGTCTCAATATGTACCAAAGCGGGGAGTCGCTCATGCGGATGTCGCCACCGAGTCTCGTCTCTTCTCTGCTTATGGAAAGCTCTGGAACGTTTAACGCCGAGTCACTAGAGAGTAGAAAGTCAATGCCTTCACATAAAGATTCGGGTAACAATAAATTCAGTAAATCTATCAAATATTCCATTAATGAGTGAGAAATTATGCTGTATAAAAATGATTTACGGCATTTCAGGTTTGCCAACGTCCGGCCGAGATAGCATCGACCCCATGATGACCAGCATGACCCTAAGCATATTGGACGAGAAGGACATGAGTACCAGTTTCCTGTCGCAGACCACCTACCCCGACAACGACAGCCTGATAGACTCTCTGCCACCGAGCCTGGTCAACTCCGTTAACTCTTCGTACGTGATCAACACGTCCAAAACCAAATCCGACTCAACCGACTCCAACATATTCAGTTCGGCCACCTTCACGCACCTGGAGCAATCCGAGCGGCTGCTCTCCGCCCGCCCAAGGTGCCAACTGTACAACAGCTACACGAAACGCGACTCCGGACTACGTAACACGGAAAGCTACACGAAGGCCCGCGAGGAGGCGTGCCAAATAGACCAATCGAAGATACTAAACGAGAATTTCGACAACAAGGACACGCCGAAACAGACGCGGCCCGGCGAGATGAGCGAAACGATCACGCTGCACTACAACAACAACAAGTACAAGCACAAAAACGCCGAGAAGGAGAACCTGAACGCGACATTCGAAACGGACGACGCTTTCTACAAAGAGAACGGCGTTCAAAGGGCCGCGGAGCTAGGCAAGAACAGCCTCAACGTGACAATAGACAAGCAGGAGTTGAACGAAATAAAACAAGCGCGGCAAAAGCTGTCTCTGGCTCGAAGAGGCCTGCCAACCGAGCCCGACAGACCTCTACCTAACCAGGCCGAGCCGCCGATAAAAACCATACAGCTACCGAACCAGGTGATAACGGTGCCGCGGCAGAGCATGGAGAACGTGTCGGAGCTGCTGGCGAACAGGAGGTCCCTGATCAACCAAGAGAGGCCCGAGGAGCCGACGAGGGACACGCCGAAGAGGAACGCGACGTTCCGCAAGCCCTCGCCGAAGCAGAGCGCGATGGACACGACGGTCGTGTACGTGAAGGCGGACGAGAACCAAATGATAGACATCAATTCCGCGACTCTGAACCTCATCGACACCGGCGATAAGACTCTGCAGCAGGACGTAAGTATAGCGCGCGCAGAATGTAAACGCGTCCCTGAGTTTCATCCAGGGGCTTGAGTATATGTTGGACTGCACGGTGCGGGTGAAAGAGCAATACCCTAACCCTTATTGCTCTCTCATTCGCACCGCAGCTTTAGTAATTTTTTCTAGAACAAATTCCATTTCACGGTGATTATTTGTAAGGCTGCGGCACTTGCTCAATTAATTCAGTACACTCACTCTTACTTCTCCATATTTATCACAGATTCATATATATATGTATATACATATGTTAAAATAGTATATTGTGCCATATTTAATCGGCGATAAATAAAGCACATGAACTCTTGGAAAGAGACAATCGGCTATATCCGTTTACGTAGAGCGTTATCTCTGTCACACCGGTCTCTGATAAGACTCTTCAGCAGGACGTAAGTATAGCGCTCCAGCGCGGACACCGCAGAATGTAAACGCCACGTCAATACTCGAGTTTCGGGTGGGTTGTGTGATCGAATCCCATTGGCATCTGAGGAGATGCCCATTTGTACAACAGATTAAGCTATTGACCCTTCCACGGAAATTAAGTTTATACACACCAAAAGACGAAAAAGAAACATGATACACCAGCATCGGTCGTACTATTTTGAAAGGTCAATAAGCAATTGTCATGCTGAATTATCGATATTTGAATTTAAAAAAAAAATCTTCACTCTCCCGCAGACGGACAAGTCGCCTCCACGCCGCTAATGGCCCTAAGGAAAGGCTCCAAGAGCGAATTGTTGAACCTGCACACCACAATATCTCCGATATACGACACGATAGACGACAAGTCCTACACGCTGACGAAGACGCAGAGCTCCGGCATGGGGCGAACCTACGACCTCCACAACGCGACCGTGATAAACAGCGCCACTATGGTCAAGAAAAGTTCCGCGAAGAGGGACATTCTGGCGGGGAAAGGGAGCCCCGAGAAGAGTATAACGCCCCCCGCCGTAGTCAAGTCCCCCAGTAGGATATCGCCCACCAATATGGGTAAGTGGACATACGCGTTAGTTGCTTACTTTCTGTGAGTTTTTAATACTATTACCTGCTGACGACTTCGTCCGCGGTGGATTTATATTGTATGTGTATATTAATAAAAATAAATAAAATTTCTAAACTAGAAGTAGCCTAAGTTACTCCTTATTATATCACCTATCTGTCTGCTCAAAGAATGTCGATAAAATTCATATTTCTTATTAGCACTTACGAATTCAGACCCTGATTTTATTTAAAATTTAGTATTTATTATATTATTAGTAAAAGCTTTAATTTATGGTTGTATAAAAACAAATATTTTATTTTAATAAAGTTTTCACTTATGTGTACTATACTTTGTCTGAGATATACAGAAATCGTCATTTTCATTAAATTTATTGAATAATTACTAAATCTAGATCTTGAGCTCTTAAAAATTTAGAATATTTAGTTTTTGACATGGATAAGGTCTTAAAACACAAAAATTTGTCTTCAGTTTTTAAAGTCATGGGTTGTGTTATATTAATTATTAATTTTGTGTTAAATTTTTAATAAATCCACAATAAAAAAATATTTTTACTATAGTTCCAGGACCTTACAGCTCAATGGCGCCAACCAACCGGTCTACCGAGGAAAACCGGCTTGCCAACGTCGAAATTACGACAGTACAGTTCACATAAGGAACTCAACAGGATACCCGGTAAAGTTTCTTGTGTTAAACTTTTCATTTAAAACTTCTTTCGCTTTACTCAATAAAATTAACTCTGAAAGCTTGTGGAGGCTCTCCCGGAGAATTACCCCGGCCTTATAGAATTGGTGTATAGGAATGGCCGCCTGGCGAGTGAGTGCCGTCCCGTGTTTATTGCAGAAACCAAAATGCTGCGGTTAAAACTTATCATCAGGTGAACCGCAAACTAGCTTGTCACTTTGTAATAAAAAAAACATTGGTGAACGCATTTCACGAATGTATTAGTAATGTAATAGTGGTAAGGGATATCTGCAAATGTAGGTGATCAATGGCAAGTGTCGATTTCAAATAGCGTCGAAAAATTCATATGTGATACATACTTAAAAAATTATAAAAAATGAGGAGTCAATTGAATGTAGAAGCATCTATTAAAATTAAACTATTAGTTTATTTGTCATGTCTTTTTGTATATTTGTCATGTCATGTCATGGAAATACATGCATTCATACGCTTGAATCGACCGCGTACTGAACTAAAGTCTAACTATTTAATATATAAAATAATCTTACTTCAATTAGGCTTGCTTCGTGTCAGTATTTCTATATAGTATGATTTAATTGAAACGATCGCACGTGACAACCCTACGTAGTGCTCTACGATTTTTTTAATGTTATCGCAGGTGGCAACCCTAGCGGGATAACGGCGCCGCGCGCGCTCGTGGGGCGGACCATGGTGCGACGGGGGGTGTACGCCTCCAACCCCGCGCTGAGCCCCACCGCCCCCGCCCCCGCCACCCCCTACGCCCCGCACCCCGCCGCCCCGCAAGTGGCGAGGGCACACCCGGCACCGCCCGTGCGCAGGGACTCCTACACCGTGGCCGTGGATCAGGTCTCGCTACTCACCGCTCTATACGGATGTGACATTGAGAGAAAAAATCGATTGATTAAAAATCGATTTTGGGAAAATATTGTAATCAGCGGAAGTAATCGATTTTTTATTAGAATCAAATTTATTGGAAAGTAAGAAAAATGGTTCACACGTATACATACAGATGGCTGTTTAATAAATCGATTGATACAATCGATTTATTAAAAATCGATTGTTATTATTGAAAAAATCGTTTTTCCAAATTTATTATAAGAAAATATCGATCATATGAAAATCGATTATTTTTTCACATCCCTACCGCTCTCATGTCTCGGACTAGTGCTAGACGCGGCATCGCTTGTTAAGATTGCGTCTTCGCCAATCGTTTGTGTTCTTGAGAAAGTCATGATTCAGAATACGCCGCTGACTCTGCCCCACTAGTAAAGATAACTCATCGGTATGAAAGTAACGTTTAACGTCGTAAATGGCCAATTTACGACGTCGCGCGCTACTTTCATATCGACAGACTTACTTTCGATTTTATAATACTAGTACGGATGTGATCGTTTATGTGAAATATTGTGCGTTCGTTCTTTCCTTGTAACACAAAGGTTAAGCTGTTTGGTATCACTAAGTTAATATACCCTAACACCAATCGAATTGGGTACCAATCGAAGCCGGGAGTTTACGTGTACGACTCAACTTTGCCATTACAGCGGTACGGTAGAAGAGTCCGGCACTACCTCTTTTCGTAGAAATTTCAGGGTGAAATGTGGATATTAATATAACCCTCATTTTATGTACTTTTAGTTTTGCTTACCCTGCAGTTTGCAATAAATTAATCAGTCATGGAAACTTTTTCTTCTAGCACTGTAGAATAATATCTTAATACGAACTAACACTATATGCAAGTATCAGTTACATAAGTTACATAGTTACGTATTTAACTTAATTCATGAATATTGAGATTCAATCAAAGCGTAAAAACATCAAGCAACGACAAGTTACGTCTTACTTAACAAATCGGATTATTTATATATTGTCAGAACAATGAAATATTTTCTAACTAAATGCAAATTTATCAAGAGCTTAATTTGAAACTGTGTTCAGATCGTCTGTGTTATCACGAAGGAATGATCAAGATAAGCACAGGAAAGTCGCGCAGCTTCATTAACTGTATGACCCCAACTCATATAAAAAATAATATCTATCTGTTCGTCTGTCCCTTTCAGAACCACCAGGAAGAGAGGGACAAGCATACGCCGAAGCCAACGGTGCCGCCGCTGGTGCGTCAGGGCACGGAGACCTTGCGCAGGGAGCGGCCGCAAAGCCAGCTCGTCGCGCCGCGAGATGTGAGCGAACAGGTTTACGCATCGCACCAAACCTCGGGTGGTTTAGTCCACAATGGTTGTGGAATCAGCCACGCAAAGACTGTAATAGATCTTATAGCTCGCAGTGGTCGTTGGGCCTTACTATCCGATCACATCCATAAAAATCATAACAGCTACGCAAAACTTGAATACACCAAAGTGAAGTTCTCCTCGCGAGTTACGCGCGTGTACAGTCGAGTGCGACTATTTATCGAATAAAACAAAACCTACTTTAAACCTATAGTATCTCAATATACTTTTTGTATTTGCTTGTGAGGTGTTCCCTGATGTATCTCCAGAGCCCAAGATCCTATACCAATGAAATTGCGGGACCACGGAACTTAATAGTAATAATAATAATTAATCGGTTTATAAGTTACATAGTTTTGAAGTAACAAACTTAAAAACAAATTGCTTTTTTGATGTCTGTTGAAAATCAACTTTACAACCATTTTACTTAACGACCTTATTTCTAAATTCTATACTTACGAAATCAGTCGGCAGAACCTCAGAAGTGAATTGAAGTTTTGCTCAATTCTCCCGAATGATCTTTAATAATTAGGAGTAGACAAGTAAATAACTCTAGTTAAGGTACTGGAATGGGAGCATGTTACGATAGCATTTTTGACCGTTATTCTTAATACAGAGGTTCCCAAACTTTGCGTCATGGTGGCCGATTTCGCGAATAGCGTGCCTACTTACTCCTCACGTTATTATGTTTCTGTGTCTGATTAGTGTCATTATATGCATAATTTAACGATTGTAGTGTAGAGAATACTGAATATCTCAGCGAGTCGCGAAATAAAACAATTTGGGAACCACTGAATTTCATCGGCATTGCATGCTTTATGTCAGTGTGGACTTCTGACAAGAGGTTATAGAATATTATAGAAAAGAAATTTATCAGATGCCTTTATGCGATAATAATAATAAGACAATTTTATCAGTTAAAATATTCGATGGTGTTGCAGAGTTTTTTCCAATATGAAGGTTAGTTTAACAACTGTTCAGTTTTACCAAACTGGACAGCTTACATTTTTGGGACTATCATCTGATAATTTTGTTGCAGTATAAACAATTTTTTGTCTTTTTTTTTTCAATATCATTCGTCTTATTAATTACTAACGGTAATCTCCTTTGCTACAACATAATTCAAACATGCTATTTAATTATCTTGCCTACATATTTTCACAAGTAAGTTTACATTGCACCAACACCATTGGTGCCATGAAAGCTTTTGTTTGGGATATGAAATATGTATATGCTTGCCTTCCCTTGGTTATTACTTAGTTTTATTATTTTCTGATTTGTTTTGTCAGCAATAAATAATAAAAAAAGGAAAAAAATTAGAAAGAATGTAAAATACGTTTCAGCTTCTCAAATACGCTCTTTCTCTCTGTGTCATTCTGTTTTATAACATATGTAAAAGGGAACAATATGTGTTTGACAAGTAATCAAATAACACAAACATTATTTGTTTCATCCACTCATACATGTTTTTGAGGCAGCTTTACATATCCGTATAGTAATAATAATGTGTAAAGTTACTTTTATTCAATTTCTAGAAAATGCCTAAAAATCCGAAAAACATATTTTTTGTGGAATAACAACTATCTATTTATTATTAACAGCAATATCGATTTAATATGTTTTTTTTCTTAATGATGCACAGAAGAAAACACAATCGTTTTTTTTTTAAATTCAATATGAAGAATTTTTTCTTTATTATTTGTTTAAATTTCGAACAACTGCATTCTTTTTCGTGGCATATTTAGGCTAACCGACGACTATTACTAAGTCGATACTCTATTGAGACGTCAATTAGTGCCACTACATAGTATAAAACATAGTCATTCCACTGTCTGTAATGGATAGAGTGATTCAAGAGGAAGGTTTATATGTATAATTCATGCATAATAATACTGTGGGGGTCGCTAGTTTCATTATAAAATTCGTTTATTTCACAACTTGTGCCTTTTATTAAAGTTATTGCGTTGTGCATTGTCGTGTATAACCGGTGTCGATTTGAATATATCCGCACGGTGGATAGCGCTGCCTCGTTTGTGTGCCGTTGTGTTTGTGATTAACAAGAGCGCGTGCGCTCTCCGGCGGGTCCGTGCAGGTCCGCATCAGCGGCCACGTCGCCGGTGGCGGGCTGCCCGTGCCCTCGCGGTACCAACACCACTTGCCCGTAAGTCATCATCCCCACTGCCATTGTCAATACGCATATGGAGGGTAGAGGTAGAGAGGACCGTCTAGGTGCATTAAAAAGACCTTCTAGGTTCAAAAAGACGCGTGCTATAAATGGCGCTGCGTTAGCGTTGCATAATTTTTAAAGAAAGCGGCAGAAGTAATTAGAATGAGATTGCGAAAGAAACAAACGCTTGTTGGCGCACTTTTCAAATAAAATAAATGGTTGGAACACACTCATATGATATATTATTAATACGATTATTACTCTGACACTTTAAATATTTGAACTCGGCACAGTTCACTCCATCTACAACAGCTAAGTTCATATCGTAGTTTATCGTACGCCGGCGCTATTCTGGCAGTTTATTGAACCCTACCTTTCAGCATACGGCTGGACACTTTCAACTCTCCCGCCCATACTAGATGGCTCTCCTTACCTCTACCCTCCATAAATCCGCCTCTACGGTATCAGCTTTGAGATTCAGCAGCGTCCGCTAGAGGGTGACACCAGCGCAAAAGTGTCTGTTATTTGCAGGGGTTTTGTGTTATCTGTGTATTTTATCGTTACACGTTGCAATCCTGTTGTATGCAATAATGTTAATGATGTTTAACATAAATGTTTATGAAACAATACTTGTGTATTTTATTCGCGTTCAATATTAGATTTTAAATTTACATGGCGGACATCTCAACGCGGGTTAAATATGACGGACCGATATTGAAAATCAGTCTGACTGAAATACGAACATTGGATTAAATTTTCCTATAGTAATGACAAAACGAAGTTTTTCGAACGTACTTATAGTTTTAAGCAGTTTTCATCTATTCGGATGAATGAAGCATTATGCCTGTGGTGTTAACTTTTAATCAGGTGTCATTTAGCTTAGCGACACTACTGTTTCGTCATTATAAGTAAATCAGCAATTTTGGCCGTTTTTAACCGTCTGCAACGGAGCTCAAGGGGGGTGGCCGGTTTATGATCAGTTTCGAAATGCATACATTTTGATGCATTGGTTCAACTCGATTTGCATATTTTGATTATTGTTCGAAGGTTATTATCGTAATTTACTAAATGACATTAAATATAATTACGCTTGTTTGAACGCTAGCATGTTTTTCGAACATATGTTTATTCTTGCGTCAGAATGCATATTTTATTAATCAAGTAAAGTGAGCTACTATTGAAATTCTAACTGATTTGAGCGCTCCGTAACGCTATTTTGCGGTTTTGAATGGGAATCTACTGTTTTGTGACGAAGGAAAAATTTTCAATAGTATTCAATAATAATTTTTCATGTTATTAACTATATTAATGAGTATTGTTTCTTAGCATGTTTTATTATTACGTGTCGTGATTGAATATTTTGGATGTGATACGTTAATAAGTCGTATATATGTTGCATGTCGAATGTTTTGTTGTTTCTAAGTAGAATGTTTTTTTTTACGTCAGCTCCCAATGCTCATAGATTTATACGACTTTTGATCGTAGATTGCCATGTTCGGTTTAATAAACCCTTAAACTGACTAACCCATTAAAGAACTTTAACTGATGATTAACATTTCCAGCCCCCTACGTCGAGACCCTGTTCAACGGCGAGTGCAACCATAACAAGGGTCTCTAGACCCAACTCTGTGCCCACCCAAAGACCAACGCCAGGTGAGTTTCTCTATAACTTTCTCTTTATTTCATTTTCAGTGCACTCGAGTTTCATCTTGAAAGCACAAAGCATTGCAGAAAAATGCAATAAAGAAATGGATACATTTAGAGATTTATGTACCGTTACGTCGTCGATTAAGTTTTATTAATTGATGTTATTGCTTTCAGTCCGCAGACTATTAGAGCTTCAAATATCTCAGAACTCCAGGGGCTAGCTAGAATGTATGAGTTTGAAACTGCCCAATGCTATGAATAGGGTCGCGCTTGTACGTCCCCCTTGCGTTGTCTGTGGCCGCTTAGGTTAGTCGGTAAAAGCGTCTGGGCGCATATTTAAAAATGTTTCCCGCCCCTTTCAGTGGTAGCATATTTAACAATGTTTGCCGGTCTTTTCATTTGTAGCATATTAAAAAAAATCACCGCTCCTTTCACTGGTAGGGTATTTAAAAATGTTTCCCGCTCCTTTCAATAGAAGCATATTAAAAAAAAATCCCGGCTCGTTTCAGTGGTAGCATATTAAAAAATGTTTCCCGCCCCTTGCAGCGCCGGCGGCGGTCGACAGCCGGCCAGTGACGGCGGCGGAGACGCGCGTGTCCGCTCTGCCGCGCCCCTCGCGGCTGCCGGCGCCGCGGCGAGCGCTCAGGTGAGCCGTTCGCGCGAACCGCGGCCCTGAATTTGGACAGCCCTGCGCGCCGAAGCACGCACGAGATAAGAAGCGTACGAATAGGGTTGCCGCTAGTCGATTATATCCAAACGTAGCCATTTCTCAGTGGTAGTGATGCCGAAAGTGAAGATTATATCGATACTTATGAAAATATCAATATCGGACTCCACATATCGAAGAGAAAATATCGATATATCAATATCTTCTCTTTAGGCCGTGTTGTCCAAAAAGAAACGTATGCCAATTATTAAATATTTGAATGTAAATTTGAAAAAATATCGATATATTTAATAAAAATATCGATGTATCAATACTTTTTCGGCATCCCTACTCTGTGGTAGAATTACAAGCAAAATTAAAAGCAACCCATCAGGGGTGCCGCTAGACAATGGTAGACCCACACATGGTAATTTCCTTATGGTAGAAGCACGAGCAAAATTAGAAGCGACTCATCGGTGTTAGCGCTAGATAATGCTACACCCACACATAGTTATTTCATTGTGGTAGAAGTATGAACAAAATTAAGAGCTACCCACCAGGGTTGCCGCTACACGATTATACCCACAAAGTAATTTCACTGTGGCAAGGCCACTTAGCAGCAATGGGCAGGCTCGTCCGGGGACGTAACGCAGCCTCACAGAAGACCATCCCGAAGTGGAGGTGTTAAACATTCCCGTTTCGTCTGGTGAATGAGTTAGCCGGGGCCCATGTTTTTAAAACTTTGCCAACGCATCTACATCCCTTCAGATGTCATCAAGTGAACCGCCAGCTCGCGTGACAACTTTTCTTTTCTTTATAACCCAAAACATTAAGAAATAAATATAAAATAAATTTCTACTTCTCACATACTCTCTTTCTAAGTTATACAAAAAAAAATGAACCGTTATTCATCCTTTTATTTCTCTATGATTTGTTCTTACAGACCACCATCAGTATACTCAGTGGCGCCGACGGCGGATATCGACCACTACTGACCACTCAACAATTGTGCCAACATTCTGGGCAAAATGGCCCCAACTAACTGTATTACTAATTAAATTAAACTAAATCTAGCGTTATTATAACAACTGACTGAAAAAGGAAACTCGGTGTCTTTTAGAATTTTTGTACACGGCTTTCATGCGATAACTTTTTTCTATTCTATTATTAAAAATAAAAAAAAATTAAACGGAAAATGTGATGCTAGCAGTATTCTATTTGTCTATGGTAACTACTTGGTGACGATCCATAGAAATGATTAACATAAGAGACCAAATTGATTGTGTCTTGTGTTCTAAAACTGTTATATTATACGAAAATAGAAAATAAAAACAAAGACGGCCTAGATATTTCATTAAAATAAAGTTTCAATAAATTTAATGTATGTCATAATCTTTGTGCATATTTTTTGTGTAAAATTAACAATCACTTTGTCTAGCCTTTGTCTTGTTCAAATATTAGTAAACCGCGCGACCAATATATTTATTTTAATTTGACAAACGTTATGCCATCGTGATTGTTTTGTAAAACAGGACCTTCAAATATAAATAAAATTGTTTGGTTTATTTTGTCTATCAACAGTAATTGTTTGACATTCAAAATTTTTCTCATGAAAATTTTGTTCATGTCCTGTAGAGGAGGTAGCAAATTCACTTTTCGTCGAATGAAAAGTCAGCCAATTTCGGCCTCCCGTGTCTCATATGTATTATGCTCTCTACAATTTTTCTGTCTACTCTGTCATTTAGATTTCAAATTTTTATCTAAATCGTTATTTGGTACAAAGAGGATACAAATTAATTGTTATTCCTATGTTATTTACAAATTTAGTGTAATGTTAGGTGAGCGACTTCAAGGTTACTAATTTATTTTGGGATAAGACGTTTTTGCATTTTGAATTGAGATTTTTAATTGTTTTATCGTTTAGATATGTCTAATTCAACTGATCTAATGTTTAAGAATTAAGAAAGATTTCGTGAATAGCAATGCTGTAAGATACGCACAAAGCACTTTGTAAAAGGAAACAGATTTTGTTTTTTATTTAACGTATAATATCCAAAAATTTTGAAATCGCCTCATGCTGACGACGATGGGTGTACAAATTGTATGTATATGTATACTTTAAAATAAATTATTGTATATTATGTAAAGTTTAATGATACAATATAAATTTATTTCGCTTTTCTTTAAGTTTTCAGCTATTCATGTAAAATGTCTGCACTTAACTCCTTTATAATAACTGTATCCTGTAACTTTGCTAATACTAGATTTTTTCACTCAATAAACTTGATTCCGTTTTGATACAGTATGTACAATTTCCTCATGTTTTCTAAATTGTATAATCTTCAGTTTATAAAAATTACATAACTAAACTGTGAAACTTGAAATAATGTTTTGATGCTATTTTAATATAATGTGACTTTTGTCTGTCTAAACTCTATTCCTTTACATATTTCGTATATTATGCTCCATACTATAGATTAAATTGAGAACTATTATTTTGGCATAAAGTATTTACCGTTTAAAATGTTATAACTAATGTTAAAATACGCCTTTTTTGGCTTTTGTGAAATAATTATCTTACATATCATTTAATTGCAACTCGCATAGCATTATTCCGTCAAATGTTCACGTGATACCATGGATCCAATTTTCTAAATTGCGTAATTTTGTTGATATAATAGTGTTCTTTGTACAGCAATTTTATATAAATTGATATACAAAATGTTATTTTAGCGGATGTTACGCATCGCTTTGTGAAATATTTGTCGTCGTGCTCTGCGTTAGATTGGTCACGTCGTGCCTTATTTAGGTAGTCTAAGGAATTTTGTTTTTAATTTCTAATAAAACTACATATTTACAAGAGCAGTGTTTTATTAATGCAGACATGAACGTTTAAGTATTAAGTATAAAAATTGTAATTATTTGGCGGCTAGGAAAATCGATCTGTAACCGCAAGCTCATAGTATAATTTAAGGGTAAAATTAATTGCGAAATTGTGTGAAATAACGCTAATAAAAACTTGTTAAATATAGAAACTCCTTCATTGAAATAAAAATAAAAGAATTTTATCCGTTTATTTCATATGTTTTCATTGGTTGTAATAAGAAAGGTAACAACGTTATTTTTTTGAAAAAGAAAAGAAGTATACCCTTTTTTATACCCTAAAGCAGTTTGGTATGTTTTAAATTTTTTGCTATGTTAAGGTCATGCAACAGCATTTGTTGCACGAATGGTCACGTTTATCCGGGAATTATCAATGCCTCGTGAAGTGGAACTGCCTATACATGATGAACTACACTGTCGCGATCTGGTAAAACGGTTACCTGGGCGCTTTATTTTTAAACTCTATTTATTTCATATTAATTATGTCTTCGAATCAAAGTTATTAATCGTGATTTATTGAACAAAAAATATAATATAAATTTTATCTAACAAACCTAGCAAATCCCCAAGCAGTATGGGGCCAAGGCATATTTAGCCTGTGAGAGAGGAAGGAAACTACTCTTTTGTCACATGTAAATATTGCTTACAAAATATTTAGATGTGCGTCAACTCCACAGTCCTTAAGTACAAATACATAATGAATAAAGAGTGCCATATTCGCGCTATTAACTTCAGCTGCCTGATGCCAACACTGCCCTTATCGCCCCTTATTTGAGGACCCCTAGATGAGAGGCAGCCAGTGTCTACGTACCCCAAAGGCCATTGCCTCTTATCCAAGCAAACAAAGTCAAGGTGTTGGGTATCTTGCCGTCGTGAAGGAAAATTGATGGAAACAAGAGCCCTACCGATGATGTCGTTCAACAGTGGCGGAGAAAGCGGCCAGCACTTTTTGATATGAAGAGCCGTGGAGCTCATATTTGTCTACATTACAGTGGTTGATAAATCAGTGCTCTCAGACGGGCTTTCATCGTCATGTAATACGCCCAAGGTAAATTGATAGTAGGTAACGCGTGAAACAAATAACTTTAGATGAGACACCTAGAAAACGTGCATACTAATAACTATCCAAAGATTAAACCTGGCTATACGTACTCTCCACCAGTGGACATCCATTTACAATTAAATTAATTTTTTTTATTGTTTTTTTTTACGTGAAAAGTTGCCAAGCGAGCAGACAGTTCACCTGATGTTAAGTGAATACCGCCGCCCATGGACATCCGCCCGCTACACCCGAGAGTTCCAGATGCATTGACAACGTTTTTAAAATTGCGCTCCGGCCACCTCACTCACCAGACGAAACGCGAAAGTTTTATGCTTCCACTTTACGCCGGTCTTCTGTGAGGTCGTGGTACTTACCCGGACGAGCCTGCCATTCGTGTAACAGCCGAGGCTGCTGCGTGGCACTACCACCGTATAAAAGCTTTAGGTTAGCTTACAGAGCAAAATTTCCATTAGAGCAGATAGGCAGCCAAGACATCTTTATCGCCTCGAAATCGAATAAATATCGGGTACGAAAGGTCCGATGTTATTTAGGATTGTTATTTTAAGGATATTATAACAGAGATTATTTTCTATGCAAGGAAAAAAGGAAGGCAGTTAATGCGACACTATAAATTTTCTAATATCAACACCACCAAACAAATAACAAGCAAAGTAATTTGAGTAAGCTTAAACACTGCATAGTATAAAATAAAGTCGTCCAGCTATCTGTCTGTCCCTATGTATGCTTAGATCTTTAAAACTACGCAAAGGATATATGATGCGGTTTTTTCACTAGATAAGAGTGATTCAAAAAGAAGGTTTATATGTATAATACTTTGCACCCGCGCGAAGCCGGAGCGGGTCGCTAGTTTATTATAAGTTAATAGTTTTTCTAGAGCTTTTTATATAATACATGAATTTTATATTTGCAAACAGAGCTCGAGCAAAGAAGATAGATATTTTTAGACAGAGGAATACAGTGCAGTAAAATAGTTAGCGGAATATTGGAAACAAGTTGTTAACATTGTCTAAAAAATTATTTAATTTTATTTTCAAAAGAATCCAGCCAATATTGGTAATAACAAAAGATCGCTTAAAACATAATGCGAATCTGTATGGACGTTAATGCTTGTTGTGATATATTAAAAATTTTTTTTAGTAAATATAATTTTATCAGAAATAGATTTTTTTTTGGACGAAATTCACATTATATATTATTATACATTATCGTATAAACTACAAAGTGATCTTCACTTTGTAGTTTATACGATAACTTCACCTCATCGTAAACATCGTCTAGGTATGGTACCTAAGACATGAAGTTTCAATTTCAAATTTTAAATAATTGAACGGATTGTTAAACTAAATAGTTTTATAGTGGATCCTAGTTGATCTTCACACTGAACGCCGATGGCAGAATCAATAACATTTTTCCAATAAAATAAAATAATATATTGACTATAACATTGCGAACATTACTGGTGTATGACCAACCAATTCGTTCAGTGTCATTAAATTAATTGAATTAAAAGCAAACATGCAGTAATACATTAATATCAAAATATGTAGAAAATTTTTACTTTAGAAAAATATTTGTATAATCAAATCAATATTTGATTATACCCTAACCGAAGTGTGAATTTTTATTCATACTCACGATATGATAAAATGTAAAACAAAACAATATTTTCATTACTTACAGTATCATCACTACAGGTATTAGGCATTATCTACATCAAAATAATCATATTAATTTTGTTCACGGCCTTTTTACATAAATCTAAAAAAAGTTAATAACAATGTTGCCATTACTTATTTCAAGTAGGCCATTGTTATCTGTTACCTTCTTTTATGTGTGTGTGTGTGTGTGTGTATGAGTGTTAAAAAGAAATCGCACGTTATACGAGTGTGCAACGTCGCGAGTGCTGTCTACGAGGAATTTTTGCTTTGTACATTTTTATTTTTATAAATAACAGATTATAACGATTTCTTTAGTAATGTAATAACGTCAAGTGATAAGAATTGTGATATATCGAAGCAATGGCTCTGAAAATATACAGTGTTTTCG